CCCCCCCCCCCTGCCGCTAGAGAGGCAGGTAAAGATCAGGCTCCAACATGGGTGTACACAACATGGGGGTTTACTTTGCCCTAAATTGAAGCAGTTTTTAAAAAACCACAGGCACTTGTCCACGTAACATCTCTCCTGTTTCCACATGACAAAAATTGCCATTAAGCTAGCTAAATTGCATCTGCAGATCCACGTTATCAGCTGACTCTTGTTTTGGGGGGGGTTTGTGCAGAGCAAAATTTCGCCGGCTGTTTCGTTTCAGCACTGTTTTGACTCATTTCAAGCTCAAAATAGCAAAGCTGAAACAAAACGAAGGGCTTTGAAACACCCTCAAAACAAAACAAGGGCAGTCAAAACCTTTTGAAAGTTTTGAAATGTTTTGAGTTTCGATGCAACCTGGCTGAGTTCCCCTCCCCAGCGCTAGGATTGGGCTGGGGAAGGGAACTCAGCCCAGCTGGGGAGGGGAAACTGAACAATCGGGCTTAGTTCCCTTCCCCAGCCCAATAGGGCTGGGGAAGGGAACTGAGCCCTGTCTCTAGTGGGTTATGGAATAGAGAAAATCCCACACAATTTACTGATTCGTTTTGATGCACTGGCTGGGGGAGTAGTTAGCTGATTGCACGATTTCACAATGATTACACACTTAATTCATACAACACAATTTTATTTTAAAACTCTTTACTACGTATATAACACTGCTTAGCTTTAAGAAACACCACAAACATTAAAAACACAATAATTACATATATCAGAAACAATGCTCCGAATGCACTTCCTTCCCAAACAATGTTATAAGAATTAGTGTTACAAAAACAACTACAATTACAACTAAAAGTTAAATTTGAATCAATACTATTATTTTTCATAATATACTTACAATCCTAGAATTCCGAGAAGCCAAATACCAAAATATGGTTTCATTCCTCAGTAGTACGATTTAATGGGTTGGCCTCAGTAGTACGGTTCAATGGGCTCGCCTCAGCAATACAATTCAATAGGCTGGCCTCAGCAGTGATAAGACTAAGTCCCCTTCCTTCAGTCTTTAGACACTTCTGGGCTCACAAGCTCACAAGTCAACTTCTGCCCGTGATGTGTTCCGTGTAGATGTCACGGGACCAATGGATGGTGTCGGACACCATGAGACAGCGCATCAGCTTGGCGTAGCAGCAGGAGATGTGGCAGGCATGCAGGACGTTCTCGTTGCTGGGGTCCCAGGCTCCGAGCATTCCCACAATGAGTGCGTTGGCCGTCACGTTGTAGCCGCGGTCCCTCAGGATGTCAGCCAGTGGGGCATACTTCTCCCGCTTGTGAGCCCAGGTGTCAGTGAAGGCTTGGCGCTGGTTCTTGAAGGGGATGGTTGTGTCCATGATCACGACCTTCTTGGCCTCTTTGTTTACGATGACGATATTGGGGTACATCTGGCTCTCACAGCCCAGGATGGTACGGTTCATGGAGCTCTCCTCCACTGTGGACGGGATGGCCCTCATCAGGCAGTCCTGGACAGCGTTGTGGCAGAGCTGCCAGGCTCTGGCATGCAGCTTGCAGCTGCACAACACATAGGGAAGGGTCTCTACCGCATAGCTGCACCGTCGGCTGTTATACTCTATGGCCTTCTGCTAGGACCTGTTCTTGTGTATGTCCAAGGACCTGGGATGCGTGAGCCTTTTATCAAAAGAGGCATAAAAAAAGTGTGATTTGTGCAATCTCCAGACATTTGAGGCAGTTCTTCACTTCTGATAGTCTAGCCCATGGCATTCAGAAGCATAGTCACACAACTATTGTGGTGGAAATTCTTGGAAATGTTGGGTGACCACTTCAGGCAAGGAAGTGAGAAACTGTTAGAATGCATCAATGAGACACATTTCCTTTCGATACGTGAGCAAAAACAAATCCTTTATGAGCAGCTTCAGGGTCCTTACAGAGCTGTTTTTTCAGGCGCAGACCATAGAGGTTGAATATTCCAAGTCCTTCATGGGAAATTGTGGAATGGAATAGAAACATTTTTTAATGCAAAGACATTGGCAGGCTGCATTCACCCATGACTTTGGAAGCTCTCTCTCATATATGGGTCATGTATGGTTTGATCTAGACTGTTCAAGCACATAGGCTATCATTTTTGGTATGTGGTAACATTTCAGCTCTTTTCAAACAGAACAGGCAACCTGCAATTGTAGGGAGCACATGGGTTCTGGATCAATGGCTTCTGTAGCTATTGACATGTAAATGATGCCAGTGGTTTCATGCTAATTTAGTTCTGGCCTGCTTTCTGGTAACAGGGCTAGGGTTCCCTGTTACACTGCCAAAGACTATAGTTGCTTCCTGGCCATACATTAATGGCAAGCGTCGTGAGATATGGGCACACGAAATCAACTCAGATTGGTGGGGAAGAATAGTCATGTCAACGTGGAATGATGACCAGTGGCTGGAAACACTCAGAATGAGCAACGAGATGTTTTACCACATTGTTAGCTTGCTGAAACCACACATCCAGCATCAGAGGACTGTCATGAGGAGACCCATCAGCCCAGAGAAGAATGTTGCCCTGGCTGTGATGAAACTGGCCACTCCAACAAGCCATGCGCCATGTGGCAAATCAGTTTGCCGTGGCTCCCTGCACTGCTGGGAGGGAGATCAGTGAGGTATGCCATCTGCTGCAGGAGCTGGCAGCAAACAAATTCATATGCCTACGTAGCTCCCCTAAGGTGGTAGAAGGATACCGCAAAATGGGCTTCCCTAACTGTGTGGGAGCACTTGACAGCACGCACATTCCCATCCTAAACTGGTCCCAGGACAACCACTCATTCATAAAAAGAAAAGAGGTTTCTTCTGTGATTCTGCAAGCCGTCATGGACCAGAGAGGGTAGATTTGCAAACAATTATAGGGGATGGGCAGGAACCGCCCATGATGCTTGTGTGTTTAGAAACTCGCTGCTGCCTGAGATGATGGACAAGGGCCAATAAGCCATGAGTGAGTTACATTTTCACATTTACATTTTTATAAGTCCAAGCATTGACAGTTACATTTTTTACATACAATTTTTTTTACATAATCCATTGGAAAGATACATCAGCTCAATAAAGCAGCAGGAGTGAGTGAATAGTACACAGGAGCTAGAAAAGAGTGTGGGAAAAGGATAGATTAAGGTAAGAGTCCTTTTTCAACCTATATTTGAGAAGTAAGGTACAATTGCAGCCTAACAAGGAGAGAGAAAACAACCTAACAAGGAGGGGGCTAGCAAGCTGACCTTCCTGATGGGAGAGAGAGACAAGCCTGAGCTGGCTGAAAAACTTTTTTATTTGTGAAGAGAATAATATTATATCACAAAGTTGTTATATTATTATGTATATCACAAATATATCACAAAGTTGTTATATTATATATAATATAATATATATCTAGAATGACAGAGCCCCAGCCAGGAGGCAAGAGGCAGGGAGAGAGCTTGTCAACTGCTTGCAGGAATGTTAATACACTATGATCTGGAGAAGCTGCCCAGCTTGAACTCCTACATCAATGGGAGAGAGAGAGAGAGAGAGAGAGAATTTTCCCCAGGCCACACCTGGGGATAGAGGCACCTAGGCAGGGGACCTTTTTAAAACAATGATAAGAGCATAACAGGGATTGAGCTATTTTGCCTGAGAAGCCCAGCCACAAAGAAAGAGTGGGGGAGAAAAACTTGCCAAGTGCTGCCCAGCTTTTTGAAAATTGCCAACAAGCTGCCCAGCTTAAACTCCTACATCAACAGGACTGGCTGCTTTTATCAAGACTTTTCTGAAAAACCAAGGGTGGGTTCTAAAAGCCAACATGCAGCAGGGAAGAGTCAGGGAGGGAGGGAAGGTGAGAAGGAGGGAGTGTATGTGGATGGAGAGTACACAAGTAAAGTAATAACACTGTAGTAAAAAAAATGGGCTACATGAACAAAGACAAAGAAACATTGCATACACGATCCTTGAAAAGAGCTAATGAAGCATATTTCAGTAAGTAGCTGCTTGGAGTACCTTGACCATTTGTAAGTTTTGAACATTTTAAAATCTTGCACACTGTAGCCTGGGCCACTGAGCATCAGCAGAAGCAGCAGGAAATGGAGAGGCTGGAAGCAGGGCAAAAATGGGACAAAAAAAAAAGATATTCATTGTTAAATGCTGGCATATTCATATATGAAACAGAAATATTCATTTTTAAATTCTAAAGGGAATATTTAAAATGCAAGCTTAGTTGCTGATGTATTGACACAATATGAGGATTGTAATGGTGAATTCCCATACGCTTTTCAGTAATGAGTCTAAAAGGATATTAAGAGTTTCGAATAGGCACTTGGCAGTGACATTGCCAGCATTTTTTCTGGAGATGGAAGTCGCGTCAGGTGACTATCTCAGGTGTGTGTTCTTCTCTTCTGCCTATTCTGCCCAATGTGAGCAGCATATGAAGCATAGTGTTAGGGAACTAGAAATAGAAGGGAGGGGGAAGTTAAGAGCATAAGAATAATTCAGGCATAGCTGATGAACTCATACTGGTGGAGTGGTGGAGCGTTGGGGGGTGGCATTTGCAGCTGGCTGGGAGAGGGGTGAGGTTTGCAGCCAGCTGGGAGGATAGGGGGGTTGCAGTCAGCCAGGAACTCTGGCTGATAACAGGGAGGCTGCAAACCACTCCTGCTCCGGGGCCAGCTGCAAGTCTTGCTCCCTCACTGCAGGTGGGCTGTGAATCCCCCTGCTGACAGTGGGCTACAACACCCCCGCCCACCCCTCCACCCCCACTCCTTTGGGATGCTCCACCACCCCACCAGTCTGAGTTCACCAGCCTTGTGCATAAGAATTAGTATTGTAAAACCACCATGCAGTCACTCCAGCCCTGAAATGGGGATACCCCTCCTGTATGCCAGCAGGGGAGGGGAGAGCACAGGGAGGTGGAGAAAGGCAGCTGAGGGGCAAGGAAGGGTGGGGAGGGGGACTTCATGCCGTCAGATACCTAGCAACTTCATTGATGGCAATTAAAACCCATTTACATGAAAGTTTAAGTAAACAATGCAAGCTGCCCTCCCTCAGGGCACAGTCAAGTGTCTTACTTACCTATGCCTAAATGTCATATGGTTATGGAACAGGTCGGGGTGTCCTCTTTCAAGTGTCGCAAAAGCAGCTTCATCCTGCACTAGAACACAATACTGTACCCGACATCAGCAGCAAGAAGCTGGAACCAGTGCTGTGACACCTGGGGGCAAGCATCCCGCAGGGCTGAGTTCTTGTGCCTCTGGTGTGTTGCCATCTCTCATGCACCTGAAAAGTCTACAGTGTGTGCACCCCACTCACTCATTGCTCGATGAATTTATAGGTATTCAGGGGGCAGACACTCCCTCCTCCTTCCAGTGAGCGCATGAAAGCCCCTGTGGGCTGGAAAAGCATGCAAAAAGCGCGACAAAACAGAACTCTTCCCTATACAAAAAAATAGCAGGGGGAAAAATTGCTTGGGGCAATTTTGCAAAGTGGGTGGGTGGGAGATGCAATGCTTGTGTACACTTGGAGAGCCCTGCAGAGAAAGATTTTGCGCCAAAACTGCCTGAGCACCCTGTGCAACTTGCACCCAGGAAAAGTGAGGGGCATCAAGCTAGAGCAAGGGATGATGTTTGGGGGGTGATGCTTGGGTAGCCCAAAGAGTACTGTGCATCCACCGTGGGCCTCCACAGCCTTCCTCCTCCGGGCCCTCTCCCTCTCCTTCCCCACGTCCCCAGGCACCTGCGGCCTGAAGCTGCAGCTCCGCACCCGCTGGGAAAGCCGGGCCGGGCCGGGCAGCCAGGCTCTCCCCCGCTCTGGCACCGACTCCTGGAGCGGCCTTCACCCCGCTCCCTGCGGCCGAGCCGAGTCGGGCTACACCCA